ACTAAATCCCATCCTTCCAAAAAAAGATACAGCCCCAGAAAAAGGTGCACAAAAGCAATGTAAATAGTAATAAATGTTATCAGCTAATAATAATACTTAATTTTGGAATTAGTCTAGGCCCTTGAGTTCTAGAAAATATAGATTCCATAGGATCTAGAATAAATGTCTTTAAAGTGTGATCCTGTATTACTGAAGACAGCTGATATGTAATTCAGAATTACTGTTAATTATTTCAGTTCTATGCAAACCTATGTAAGTTGACCATGGAAAATACATTATACTTAATATATTAATTATTTCTTCATTTCTTTATTCCATAGCGCTTTGGCAGGATATAATGGTACTATCTTTGCATATGGTCAGACAGGCAGTGGCAAAACTTTCACCATCACAGGAGGAGCAGAACGTTACCGTGATCGAGGCATTATTCCCAGGACTCTGTCTTATATTTTTCATCAATTACAGAAGGTGTGGGACTTTTTTTTCTGTTTCTTTTACATGTCTCGTTTACAACTACTTGATTATATTGCAAAAGACTGTCTTCATGTTAATGTTACAGGTAAGCCCCAAAATTAAAGAAAATACTGAAGAAAGCATGTACCTTACTACAGAAATAAATTACTAATACTGTTGGATGATGGGGTTTGTTACAGCAGACTGAAAATAGTGGATATCATTGGAGGGTTTTATGTAGTTTTCAAAAGCATGCTATTTCTAATTGAGGAGACTGGGTCATGTTTAGATCACTTAACTGGTTCTACTTGTCTTAGCTCAAACTATATTAGCTCCACTGTAATTTATGTATTGCATGCGTTGCATCACACACATTAAATACAAAAAAACCTCTCATTTCTTTGCAACAGTAAACCAAAAATATTGTATAAAAGTTGTACCATTGTTTTCACTCTTCATAAGTTAATTTTTTTGTTTGACTGATGCTTATAAAAATACATATATAAGAGCAAAATGAATAATAAGCATTTTAAAATATTTTTATTCACCATGTTTTCATGCTTGCATTTTGCTTGATGTTAATTATTAGCTAGAGTATATTATCAACCTGTAATGCTAAATACATGTAAGTATTATGAAAAACAATTTCTAAAGTCAATAATGCAAATCCTTTAAGTATTCAAAAGAGAAGAGAGATGCATATTCATTTTCCTTGTGCATATTCATTTTCCTTGTGCATTCTTTTCCTTTTAACTCCAATAATGCACTTGTATGGAATTTACGTATTTGTAAGTGATGTTAGTAATAAAAGTCTGATTCACTGAGTATAACTGGATAGTAAGTGAACATATGTTAGGTAAATTTCTTGACATAATTGCACATATACAGCATATGGACAAGTAAAGCTGTAAATAGTAAGAAATGTCATTATTGTTTGTTTATTGTTATTATTCCTGGTGCATTCTTTTCCGGATGTACTTGTCCATTTGTTTCTCATTGAATTTATTGAAAAATAATTCCTTTGGTCTGTTTTTAAAAAGGCTGTTGGAACTTAAAGACTAGTTAATAGTGATTAGAAAAACACTGTCAAAGGTAGTAAATTGTATTCTGAAACTCAGTTTTGCATATGCTTTACACGTGGAACTTTCACTGGAGCCCGAGAAAGAGGTGTATTTTTATAGGTGAAATGACAATGGATTTAGCATCATCAAAAAAGTTGGGCAGTAGTAAATAGTTAAAATATTTATTTTCTCTCTTTCTTTTCTTCTTCCCCATGTTTTAGTATTTCTGAGTCTCTCAGAAGATATTCCAGAGAAGTTTCCTGCCACTGACAGCTCAGTGGCAACTGCTCTTTGAATACGGAGCTTGACATAGCTGTTAGGGCAAAACATGACTCCAGTGTTGAAATTAACCTAAAACTAAGAGCTATAAAATCACTTTTCAGTTAATCCAGTGATGTAAAAGTGAATGGTATTTAGGTGTTTAAACAACCCTAGCTCTACCCTGCAGAAGTTGTAGAAGAAACCTTACAAAATCTCAAAATAGCTTTGTGACTACAGAAAGAAAAGTACTCTGGAAAAATCCTAATTGTAATTGTTGAATTTACAAATTAATCAAGTTGATATACACATCATTGCACGCCACTGAGTTTGAAATCTTGTACTCTTTCACTTTGAATCAAGAAAATGCAGTGTTGCCTCGTGTGCCAAAAAAATATCATGCCTGGCAGAAAGCGAATTGGCAGAATGTGGCAGAAAGAGAATACAAACTTTAACTGGTTCTTCTGAAATTACTGTTCTCCAAAAAAGACAACTGAAACTGAATTTGGTGATTTCTTCTTTTTTTATGTACAGAAAACATGGCAGCAGTCCAGTTTTACAAAACGTAGTAATGGCATTTAAAATACTACTCTACACCCTAATGTCTCAACATCTAAGAGCTTCTTTACAAATGACTAAGAAAAAAACTCGGAAAATCATAACTTGCCAGAAACATTCCTTAGTATCTCTCTATGTTAATTTTCCTAATAAATATATATGATGATATCCAGCTGATATGCTTCAGGAATATAAATTAGGTGACAGCAACAACGTTTCTTGTTGAACAGTGAAGTTAATTTCAAGTCCAGCACTCTTAATCTGAAGCCTTTTCACTGACCTACAGCCCACAGGTTGGAAGGAAAGATTAAATAGCACATTTTTGCCACATATAAGGGGACTATGAGGAAAAAAAACAGTAACAAGCTGATAATATTGTGATTGACATTGCAGGTGTTTGTGTTTGATTATAACTAAAATATTGTAGAATGATTTTAATTTGGCATTTTTTGTACTATAAAATGAGTGAATAGATGAAAGGATATGCCAGAGTAAGCACATTGATTACTCAGTATGTTTACCAAAAGAAAAATGAAATTATTTTCTATCTGTAATACTAATGTGAGCCAACACAGGCAATTATTCTAGTGCTCTTGTAACTATAGGACACAAAAAGGAAGAGAGGAAAAGTATGTTTGTTTTTCAGTCTGACCTAATATAGGTTTTATCTCCCTATTTAGTCCGTCAGGCTTATGACTAATTTAAGATTAATATTCACATTTTAACAAAGCTATTAAATTAAACAAATTTAAACATTATTTGAGCCTAACATCAGTCTTTAACTCATACTTTTATATGCTCTCATTCATCTAATATAGGGTTGGATCCTGCCAGTTCTTACTTGTAAGGGTATATATCCCAGTCACATGAACATAGCTTGCCTTAGTAAGCATTAATGATATTGAAAAGTAACCTTAATTCTTTAAAGGTGTGACTGTAGCAGGTATGTCTACACAGCGTATTATGAGTGCATATAAGTTTACTCTTGTGTGAACCAAGATGAAAAAATGTAATCATGTTGCCTTGGACATTCTGCTGCACTCACATGACTACAGGGAGGACTTTTGTTGTAGAAAGTAAATAGGATGATCTTGCATTTGCCAACAACATGCAGTGTAAACACATCAGCTTGCTTGTATAGTGCTAATTATGTAATAAAAACAAAATAAGATGAAAAATAACTAATGTATTTGCCTTATTCTCAGCAAATATACTCTATAGAAATAAAAATGTTTGAGTTTCTATTTTCAGGCTGATTTTTCTGATCCAAAGCTCTACTTAGTTGGCCTCTGGGGATATTTCTGCCTACCTGCTTCCAGATCTTTGTTTAATACATTTTCTTTCTGTGCCTCTTCTTGGTGCTTTATCCTTCCACCTGCCTTTCTTATTGTATCCTTCTTTTGTTTCATTTATTTTTCTCTATATAACAGAGCTTTGGAAAGCACTTACACAAGGGAAAACTGTCATCTGCCTCCTATTCCTAGATATGATGGAACAGAGGAAAGTGATCTTAGGGGACAAAATAAAAGATTTTTGAAGCCCTCGCTTGCCCTGAGGCCAGTTTCTTTGAAACTAAGAAAATAATTTTTTTTAATTAAAAAAGAGAGGCAAATCAAGACCTTTGTTTTTAATAACATCTCCTTTTAATTTATTGTTTAGAAATTCTCCTAGTTTCACAGCTTCCTGTTTGAACAGTTTCTTAATCCGTGTTTTCCATTCAGCTGTAGTACGTCCTTTGAAACGGTATCCCTTGAAAGAGTGATCTGTCATGATCAATAAAAGGCTCATATAAGAAATAGTTATTCAATGAAAATGAGAACTTCTTATCTCAAGGTATTTTGAAAAACAGCTGTAGCAGATTGGATTATGGAACTGCTACTGTAAGTGTGATATGAGTGCTTTCACAGTGGTTTCATCTCCTGAGAAGTGGTGTCTAATTTTCTTTCATTTTGAAAATCATAGCCCATTATTTTGAGGTTTATGTTGTTTGAATTTGGCTTTGAGGGAGGAGAAAATTCTATCTGCAAAAACCAGTTGTGTTAAGTTACATTTCTGGCATTGAATTTTACAGACAAAATGAGGATTACAGAGAATGGCCAACATCATATACAGTCTTTAAATATTATGATAAAGAGTGTGGAAAACAGTATGTCACTGAAGCTTCTAAATGAAGTAAATCTCTGATTTTTTTATTCTTTTGGTTTTTTGAGGATAGCCTTTTTATCCATAATATGAAGGTTAACCTCTTTATAGCAGCATTCTTTTTTGTCATGAAAGTAAAAAATGGCCTGTTACACAATTCTGTAACCAAGCTACCGCATTCCAAGTGTATACAGACTTTTTTAGATGTGTGGAACCGATGAGAAAAAAAAATACACACAGACTAAACTTACTTCTAATCATGGGTATAAGGCTTTTTGTTTTTTGTTTTTTCCAAGTTTTTCCCATTTTCATTTTGAGCTTTTATGCGTATGGTAACAGAAAAGCATAACAGTATCACGAATTTGAAAATGTAAACCATGCCCAGGAAAAGAATAAGAGACAGTGAGGAAGCAATGTAGAAGCTGTAGTGATAAATTTATCCTTTGGCCTAGCTCTGACTGCTGTTTATAGCCCTTCCTTTAATTTCTTTTCTTATTTAGGATAGCAGCAAAGTGTATACAACTCATGTTTCCTACTTAGAAATCTACAATGAATGTGGTTATGATCTGTTGGACCCAAGACATGAAGCCTCCAGACTGGAGGATTTGCCGTGAGTAACAAAACTACAAAGAATGAGCATGAACAGCAAAAACAAAAATCATTTTCAGATGCCCTCTTGCATTGTTTGGGGAATTTTTGGAACTGTACTACTGATCTTAGTCTTAAGTAACTCGAAATATTTTTTCAGTATTATCAATACTGTCTATAATTTCCTTTTTTTGGTATATGTGTGTATACTAGGGAAACTAGACTGGGCTAATTGAAGGTGAAAGTGTAAAAGATTGTTGTTATGCAGAAGAGATCTATTGCAGCCACTGGAAACAAAAGTGAAGCTATGCTTGTTTTTTTCATGACAGTCTGTCCCTTTATATGGTAGGCACATGCGTTTGTGTAATGGAGACATATGGAACAGGGAGTATTTTCTTGAAACTAGTAGGAAGAAAAATTCACTGCTTATAGTGGGGCCTTTTCCTTCAAGGATAATTATTTTTCAAATATAGGCAATTATGAAGTAAGCTAAATAATAGGAGATACACAAGCTCAAAGGGAGCTCCAAATCACAGTATATTTATTTCAGAATGGATTGTCGTAACAATGTTCCTTGATAAGACACTTACTAATTAGACTCTTACTAATAACACCTAGTAATACTTGGACAAAGTTAGTAAATAAAGATTTGTGGAGGTCCTGAAAACATACATTTGCTAAAGCTAAGGGGTTCTTACACAATTTATAGTAAATGTGAAACTTAAACTCTTCAGATTCTTCTGAAAAAAAATCTAGGCTGTGTTACTTGTAAAGTAACTCAGCGAACGGTAAATAGGTACAAAGAAATGAGTTGTTGACTTCTTGGATTTGTAAATGCCTTGAAATAATGCTGGGAAACATGAATCACATCACTCACCTTAATGGTGACTGGAACATGTGAGTTTTTTATTAAAATCGCTAATTGTATTATTAACTTATTAAACCATTTTTTTAATTAAGTTGCCACAAAAGTTTCAGAATTGTTGCAAGTTGTAATAAAATCTAGTTTTAGTTTTCTATGGATTATGTGCTGCCTATCTAGGATCTATATCTACAAAAAAATTTCTTGATTGATCTTTATAAGACAAGCTAGTCTAGAGATAATGGAAGAGCAGACAAACTCATATTATAAAATGGGACTGACGTCCGCCTCTTTTTGACATTTTGATGCTAAAAGTACTGCATGTATTTATTAATGTCTCATAGTAAAGTTCAGGAATCTGATGTGGTTTATTGTCTGCTTCCTGTGCTGTGCCAAAAAAAATGTAAAATCAGAGACTGGGTTTTAAGATAATTTATTTTTGTTTCCATTTTCTGCAGGCACAAATTTCTGTTCTTAGTTGTGTAATTAGTAACTAGTCTTTTACTTTAAGTAGTTTTTTATTCGGCTTATTAAAGTGAATTTATTCATTTTATTAAGCTATTTAAATTTATTAAATTATTGATTACATCTATTAAATTATATTTTATTTGAATGCATTCAATTTATTCATTTTATTAAATTGAATTTATTGAATTGAATTGAATTTGATTTAGATGAAACTAATTGAAACACGGCTATTTGGGACCATGTGCTTAGGAAAGCAGAAGTCACTTTTTAAAATTAGGTTCTGACTATTTGTTAATAATCATTAATTTCAGAATATCAAGATTGGTTGTATGTTGTACTTCAGTTAAGCTAGAGTGGAGAATAATTCCATATATGTATTAGACTACTGTAAGAAAGTAAAAATTGACAGAAAATTTGATTGTGAATTGGGGATAAAGCACGCTGGGATAATCATAATTACCCCTAAATTTATGTACTGTATTATATTGCAGGATGGTTATTAGTGAGACAAATTTGTTTCTGCACAGTGACTAATTTTAATAATACTTAACTTTTTAACTACATATGGTCATTATAATTTCTAGTACCTCAGTTGTCAAAATGTTTGTACTGCATACTAAAACTGTACCTTCACAACTTACACTTTGTATTGTGTAAAAGTAGTTAGTTGATAAAATGTGTTTTTGAGTTTATTTGTTTATTTGTTTTTTTTTTTTTTAAATTAAATGTAGGGAGCTAAAAAGTACAGACTACGTGGAAGGGTTGTTACATAATTAATTATATTTTTAATTACTTGGATAATTTCTTGTAGATGGCAAATTAAATAATAGTTATACAGATTTTAAAATTCATCAGATGTTTATTACATGAAATATATTTCTTTTTTTTGAGAATTTTATATGCTTAAAACCTTAAGATTTTACTGGTAGTAAGCGAAGTACAGAATGATCTAACTTGCTCAGTTTGCTTGAAAGCATGTATTTAATTAGAATATTAAAAACTAAGGACTTAAGTTTATTGCACTTGAAAAGGATCATATTAATAATTTCCTGTTGAACTTCACAGGAGGGCATCAAGATTTTAAGTGCCGTGCAAAGCAAAATACAGTTTATCTATGCTGACGTATTAGCAGTCAGTGCTGATATTCCTCCAAGCATATAAGGTGGACAAGAAAAGAATTGAAGAAATGTGTCATTTTGGAAGAGTAAACAAAAGATTGGTTAACCTAGTGAAGTATACAGATTGTTTGGAAAGTAGTATTCTTATACATATTCTTGCAAAAGAAGGTGGTGCATTTTGAATCAAAGATATGGACTTCTGTCTAACAAACTTTATACTAATGACATTACACTACTTAATTCAGTGGAAGTGATGGCATTCAGCAAATAAAGTATGTTGTGAAAATCACAGTAGACCCATAGATGAAAACTGAGACATGAGAATTGTACTTGATGCAAAATAAATAATGACAGTTATAAGAATTGCCCAATCCATCTAAACCTCATGAATTTTGGGATCCCACCTTCTGAAGTCCATGTGCTGTATGTAGCCATCCTTTGTATTCTGTACCCTATTGAATTTTTCTTCCTGATACTACTTAATCATTTAAATGGATTCTGCTGGATGCAGAGGAAAGAACCTTTCACATCAAACAAGTACTTTTTGGTAAATAAATTCCTGACAAATGCGTGAATGTAGTTCACGTATAAGAGAGAGAAAACTGTAGTTCACATATAAGAGAGAGAAAAAAAAGAAAAGTCTCCTCAGTGTAACAGAAGTCTGTGAAGTTGGAATCACTAAACTCTAGATTTTGTCTAATTTAAATATATTCAATGCTTGATATATATCTACATGTTTACATAACTGGAAATAACTGAAAAGTCTGTTCAGGTGGTGAACTTTAACAATACTCTAGATTTACAAAAGTAAGGTAGTTCACAGATCAAATTCATTAACAAATTTTAATGTAACCATGTTTCTGATAGGTACTGGTGTTTATAAATCAGCAATATTTGCTTCTGAAATCCCAGTGAAATTGTAGTGTCACAGGAAAAAAAAAAACTTTACAAAAGTTTTAGTGTTTAGTGTTTAGTTGTGTTGATAAAAAGTGTTTAGTTGTGATGATATTACGTGTAGCCCATAGTGGATACTGTTTGATATATCTTAATGCTTCTTCCACAATATGTCTTGGTTGACAGTTACACCTTGTTTTGTTTGTACAAAGCTGATACTATTTATTTTGAAACACTAGTTGAAAACAGCTTGTTCATTGCTGAATGAAGATTCATTAGAAGTAGCTTACTTATTAGAATGTAAAATTTAATTTTACATTGACAATGCATTACAATTGTAACTTTGTAGAGTCCTATGCTTATACAAGGAAATTGAAATTATGATTGTCTTTGAACATTTAAGAAGTATAAAACTGTTATTGTAAAATACAGCTGACAAAACCATTTGATTCCGTACTGCCATCTCTTGTTTTTATAAAAGATTTGCAGGATTGTTCAAATTAAATACAATTTTTTGAAGCTCTTCATTAGCTCTCAGGTTATATATTTCCCTATGAAATACATTCTTCAAAATGAAGAGTGTTCAATATAAGTGTTACTATTGAATGCTAAAGGTTAGGAGAATATTCAGATTTGAAAATGTATGCTTTTGTGTTTGTTAACTGGAGAGACAACTTGTTCATTGCATTTCGAACAACTTACACTTTAAATGTGTAAAATAATTTCAGCATGTATTATGAGCAGTTATTTGCATCCAGATTTTCTGTTCATTTTTTTTACCTCAAAACCAGTAGGGTGCAATCAGTGAAACTTTTCTGAGGTGACCACTTCAAGTATTAACTTATCAAAGTCTTCTAATGAGTGAAGTAATTCAGCTGAGATTATTGCTGTGGTGTGTTTAAGACAACTTTGCTTTTGAAAATGGAAGTATTTTATTTAACAAACATTTTACTAAGAATGAGATTATTGCAGGTGCCTGCAAATTCTAGCAGAACTTACATATTCTTTTCTTGCATGATCTATCAGTCCCATTGTTTCAGTTGTAACTCCTGTGTCCATAAAGTGTAGAACAAGCAAACTGTATTTCTCTTGTATCAAATGTAAAACTTATTGGAAAGGATGGGAAGGATTTTCTATCATGTCAGAAAAGCAGCCTTCACCAATACTAACTCATCTCATAGTTTTGTCATATCTCACAAGCAAAGGAGATTATGCTTTGTTCTGTACTTAAATGGAATATCAAATGTGTGTGCTATTGGAAGTTTTGCTGGTGGTTGAATAGCTTGTAACCTTCCCTCTTGAATCAGTATTGACTCTGTCCTCTGAAGTGGTGTAAAGGCAGCTGTACTTCTGAAGGAGCTTTTTTTGGATGACTCATAAAATGATGACCTTTGCCATTCTTTCTTAAAAGCTAAAGTTTCTTGGAACTTTTCATAAACACTGGCTATCCATTTTTTTGTTCTATTTTTCTGGACAAACCCTAAGATGTATGCTTACTGATTTTTCTCTTTTATCCTTTTCCTGAATTTATTATTGAGTGTATTGTCTCCTTCTCATGCCAAAATAACATCACTATATTCTGTTAATGTATTATTGTATGGGGTGTATATCCTCATAAGATGATCTACCTACATCACTCTGATTAATTCTTATATATGTATAAATTTGTGAGATTATTTTAGATTTGTTCAGTTCTAAGCCCTCAAGACAGATATAATCATAGGAGATTTTATAAAAACAAAATTGTCGTTTGTTTTCCCAAAGCTCGGAGCTTTTTATTTATATTAAACAATTTAATGAAATGGTATTAATGAACCAAACGAAGCTTTAACTTCATTGTTTCCCAGTAACAGGAATTTCATGTACAAAAGTATTCACTGCATAATGCATTATTGCATTAATGGCAGCTAAGCTGATGCAGGAATGGGCCTGAGTTAATAATAGTATAAAAAAGGCTGATCCCGTCCTACAGGTTTTTTAGGGAGCTACAAATTCCATCCATTATGCCAAATGGAAAAGATTCTTTGTTTATAAAGAAAACAAAACCTTGTCTCTGCCTTGTTTCAGTCATTACGGATAACTTAACAGAACTTTTCCACTCTATGATCCAAGTTAGGGCTAAGAAATTTAAACGCATCACTAATATGCAGTGTTCTATAGAAATCTATTGTCATATTATACAGTAATTTTATAGCACTATGAAATAAATCATTTTGTCATCGTTTTGGAATATGTCTTTTTGGAGAGGTTTTAACAGATGCCTCTGTAGATGTGCAAATTTGGGCTTCCATCTGGAAATCCTCCTAATAGCTGAAAGGCCACTGCACAGTGCAGGATATTGTCACTGGTTTGTAATCTCTCCACTCTGCCCATTCTAACATAATAATCCTCCAGAACTTTTTGTCCAAGCTAGTATCTTCGTTGTCTGCCAGACTGGAAATTATTTATAACCATTGGTCAAAATATAGTCTGAAAAAATCCTTAGAAGTTGAAGTGCTATGACAAATGTTTGTAGTAAAATAGCATCATTTTCCTAAATTATAAAAAGAGGTGGATGATTCTTACTAAGCCATTTCAAAATATTAACATCAGTCAGAGCATAATATTTTAATAAGAATTACTCTTTAGTGCAATACATACACAGACGGAATTGAGGACAAAATGTAATTTCACATTATCAAAACATTGTTATCTGAAAGCAGACTTTTGCTTTTGAGTTTGTGCTCTTAGCGGGGGAAGTAGAGGTTCTTGATTTTACTAGAGATTGAAGCCATCTTGCCCTAGAGCACAAAAATAACGCTATAGCAGAAGGCAGTCACACTTGGAAAAACAATTGTTATGACTACTAAAGCAGCATTGTGTCTACTTTTACATGTATTTTTTGCTTGAAAATCACATATTGCAATGCTTTCACATGATTCAGTATATCTGTTCCAACATTTTGACCATCAGGAGGTAAACTGCTCTCCTAATATTCAGGAGTACTATTCCGAAATGCTGCTTAGCTGCTCAGTTTGTTTCTACCTGTTTTGAAAAAAAGCAAACCAAAACAAAACCCAACCTTTGCGCTTTTGGAGCAGCTTAGAGTAATTAACATACAAGAACTATCTGGAGATAAAATCTCAAGATCAGCCCCATACTCCCTCTTGTGGTTGACCTTGATGAATATGAAATATATGTATATTTCTATATTTCAACATATTTATATACATGAAGCAAAAGTGTTCACCTTTTTTCTTTTGATGTGAGATTGGAGTATTAATTATACTTGCAAAAAAGATAGCTCTAATTTCCTTCCTATAAATTGTCTCAAAACATGTCACTCAGCCTAGTCTTCCTCAGAATTAATGTACTTCATTTTTAGCACAGTTCTCATTCTGGCGGTTTTCCAAACCCAGTGAAACAATTACTTGGATTCCACATTGGATGCTATAGAGTATCTTAGCTAAGGAGACCGTAACGGCTGCTCGGTACAACCAAAAAAGTTTAACGTTCTATACCCAATCAAAAAAAAAAAAGTCTTATGTTAAGGGGCTATTTAAAGACGTGAAAAGGGATTTCAGTGATTGGAATTCCCAGAGCTTTTGCCATATCCTTACTGCTTCCATCTGACTTCCCTTTTCTTATCTTTTAAGGCTTAAAGAAGTGCAGTTAACAGCATTTCTAACCTCACTGAAAATAAATAAAAACATTCTGTTTGTATGCTTTTAATTAAAGAGATGATTTTCATTTGTAGTTATTACCATTTGAAGAAGATTGAAAGAGAAATAATCTTGACAAATGCAGAGTTATTATAAACATGTTGGCTACAGATGTGTTGATTCTTAAGTATTCTATGCCTATTTTTTCATCAAGATTGTGCTATACTTAGGTATCATGTGCTTACATAGCTGTCATAATGGGAAACAAACCCTTGCTTATCATTTGTTTGTGATAATTCATCTAGTGTCATGCTCTTGAGATTTTACTAAATCTCACCAAAAAGGTCCCAGACCTTTCTCTAATCAGAAATAAGAATCAGAACTATTTTATCTGGTACTTCCTTTAATGTGTATCTGTAACTCTTCATATTTTTAGTGCTTTTTTTATTGTGATAGGTTTTGTTTCTTAGGTGTAACCTTTTTAGATGCAGTCTTAATGAAAGTATAGATCACCTTGCAGCGATTCTAATTGTCCTTTCTTTTTTTTTTTTCTTGTAGAAAAGTGACAATAATGGAAGACCCTGATCAGAACATTCATCTGAAGAACTTGTCTCTTCAGCAAGCAACTAATGAAGAAGAAGCCCTAAACCTGCTGTTCTTGGGAGACACCAATAGAATGATTGCTGAGGTGAGAACTGCTGCCACAAATCTCACTTGACACTCTCAGGGTTAAAATGGTTATAAACCTGTCTATGTAAAAATTAGCTAGGAAGCACACAGTGATAAATGAGTAAGTTCCTTCTTGCTCAGTATATTTCCCTGGTAAAATCAAATAAGCATTTCTGTGACTGTATCTTCAACTTTGCAGAAAGCTTTCTGTTTTTCCATAATGAATTTAATTGGTGGTTAATGCAATAATTTGCTGAAATTCAAATAAGTAAAACAAAAATGTTTTTCTCATAAAAAACAGAGACTGCCCTTTGAATATTGTTTCTATCAACATGAATGCATATTTAAAGATTAGAAAAAATATCCTTATGAAACATTGTCAAGCTTTCCCACAGATGTACTGGTTTGCCTTTGGAATAGTTACAGTAATGATTAGCAGTCCCCTCTTTTTTCTTCCAATTCTGTGTAAAGATGCAAATGGTGGTGTGTAGCACATTCAGAATAAATATTTTCTAGTATGCCAAGGCAAGAGCGATTTTCCTGATTCTAGAAAATTTAAGTGAATTCAAGCATATATTTTTTTCCATACCTGATTAATAAATTGAGGAGGAGGAAGTTCTTATCTTCATGTTTGGAAATGGAATGTATATATAAAAAGTGTATTATACAATGTTGGCATTGTCATCTCTGAATAGATGTATGTTTACCACTACAGCTAATCGTATTTTAGAAATTTGTGGATTTTTTCCTCTGTCTGACCAAAAAGATGTGTAGTAAATCAGTGAGGAGAAAGATGCATTCAAAGTATATGAAAATAGTCAAGTAGCTGTCTTTTTGTGCTGGCTGACTGTGCACACTTGGGCACAGGGGAAGAAGTATTTGATTATAAAATATAAATTTGTAAGCTGATTTTTTTTCTGCCTTTCTCAAGGGAGACTATTTCAGCGGTGACATTTTCAGAGGCAGAAAGACTTTTAGGAAAGAGATCATGAAGCAGTAATTAAGTCTGTTAGTAAATATGAATATTGAGGTGAGGGAGAGTTTGATGATGTTGAAAAGGAAAAAGTAATACAATTAGAAGAGAGGAATTTGAAAACTATGGCTGAGGATACCCAAAGATGATGATGTGTTCAGAAGCCTGAAAAAATGTGATGATAATTCTCACTAAAAAAGAAAAAGAAAGTTCGTGAGATGGAGAAAGATCTTCAGGAAACGTCAGTTCAGTTTTTTTGAGCCGAGTAGGAGAATGAAATGGGATATTTGAAGAATGATGTGCTGCTGGTTGACTGTTCCATAAATCAGTAATTGTAAAGGATTGTCATGTTATATACATGGAAAATGTCACCTAAAAAGAAATATTTCCCACTGAAAATCATGAACAAGGAGCAGGACTAGTGAATATTTTAAGTTATTAGAACTCCAAATAAAGTGTAGTGCTCGATAAAGCTATAAGAATTTTCCTAATGGGTCAGACCGAAGGCATGTCTGTCCCACTTTCTCTTTTCAAATAATGGCCAATAGCAGATATAGAGAAAGAGTAAAAGATAAAGCAAGTAAATAACGATACTTTCTGAAAAACTCTCCTAGTCTTCATTAATTTGTGGCCCAGACTATTTATAGCTAACAATCTATGTTTTTGTTTTTTTTTCCACGTGGTCATCCAAACACTCTTTTAACTTCTGTAATGTTCTACGGTCTCAACTCTCATGTGACACAAATTTCCATGGCTCAGCTATGTTGTGTGAATTAAAATCCAGTCTATTTTTGAATATATAGCTTGGTAATTTTGTTTGAGGCATGCTACTTCTTGCTAGAAAACACAAGAATAGACAGGGAGAATGTGCTGGAAAATGTAACTAAACCAGAAGAGAGGCAATCAGTTACAGCGGGCACCGCTAATATAGAGTTCACTAATCTGAATGGCTGGGATTAGCAAATGTTATGCCATTGCCAGTTCTGCTGCTTTTGCTGCAGTAAGGTTTTTTGTGTTATATAAATGCTATAATGTTGATGTGGTTTAATGCAGGAGAGAAAAAAAATTGTTAGCGTGTTCCAATAAAACTTACTTGGAATAGCAGCTGCACATTGCAGCAATACATACTTTAATTAATCTGAATGCTGATATGACCCCGAAACTTTAAATGAACAAGATTTCACTCTAACAATTTTACTTATGTAGTTAACTTGCACGTTGTTCCTTTGCAATAGCAGCAGGCATGTTTCAGTCTCATGAGTGTACTGGGTGCTGCTTCCTCTTGTGTTACAAAATTTATTAACCATTATCATTTGGCCTTTTGGTTTTAGGTCACTGTAAAACTATATATGATGGCTTAACAGAGTGAGAAAATTGTGGTTGCAGAAGTGAGGGATTAATGTAAAGGTCTATGAAAGAGGGTTTGTGAAATCAGCTGTAACTTCTTCTCCAGAGGTCCATGTTATTAACACCCAATTGAATTATAACAACATTTCCTGATTTCAAAAAAAGAATAGGACCCTGTTTAACTAACCTTTACAAGATGAAAAATGAATAAACCTAGGTAGAAAAGAAGTAAAATAAAAACTAGACCTAATCCATCTTTTTTTTTTTAATTTATTTATTGATAAGGAGTTTAAGTATGGAAAAACTAGAGTGACTGCCATGGCTCAAAAGGAAATTTGTGGCAGAACTCCAGTCTCCAAAATTTGTTTAATGCTTTATCCCTGAGATAATCCTTCTTTGAACAGTTGTACAACCATTTTGAAAATAAGAATGACACTATAACGTGTAAGTTTTCTGAAATGCCTGGGAGCTGATGGATTCTAACTTGTGGTTTAAAGGTTACCTTTTTCCTCCTCACTGGTTGTATTTAAAAAAAAAAAAAACCACAGTGATCATGATTTTAAATACATGGACTACATTTATTCATTAAATGTCAGAACCTAATGAATATTTATAACAGTGTTTCCCACACATTGCAATATAGCCCATGAGAGGGAAACAGAGGAAGCTCCTCTAACTTGCACAGTATTGGTTTATAGACAATTGTGTGAACAGTCCTTTACTCCACTTTTGACATGTGCCATGAGCTGTGGAAATGGAAGAAATGGAAGTGGGAGACATCTATGCGTAAGTGCTCTATAATATAAAAATCCAAATGGGAAGTTTTTGTCTGTCATATTTTGACAGGGACAAGTGAACAGAGAACCTACCGAAAGAACTGATTGTTGTGTTGGCAGCTCTTCCAGCCATACTGGCTATTTTTTCTGTTTTTTTTTTTTTCCATAAAATACAGTTTCTCATTATATTTGAATGCATAAGAATCTCAGCAACAGGCTATAAAAAATCTGAATTTATTTTTTATGCTTCAGTTTTTAAGCAAACTTCATGATTTAGGTAGCTCAAAAATTTGCACACAAGAGATTCCAAAATCTACTTTGCATATATGACACAGGTGGTAACAGCAGCATGTAGAAGGGTGCATGCAAATAAAGGAGTGCTTGGCTGGTCAGGTAGCGTTCACGAACACTTTATTCTGGTAGATGTACTATTAATATGCCTGTGACTGAGGTTTCCTCATCTAAATTCTTGTGACTGGAACCTCTTGTGATCACTGTCCTTCGAAATAATATGCCTGAGTCTTTGTGATCCTTTTTTTCATATTTCTTTTAAAGTAGCAGATCAAGGTAAAGCCAGTAGCCTCCCAAGAGCTCACACCTATTTCAAAACTGTAAAATCTTTAAGCAAGATTGATATGTTTGAACACTACAATCTTATGTAAATTCAGCATTTGTTTTTCCTCTCATGAAAAGTTACTTCATTTTAATGAGAAAGAAAATGTTTTAGTGCATGGTTTTATAGTTATAACTCTCCATTGTTTAAATATGTAAGATAGTGCATGCTATTGTTCCAGACTTTAAAATGCTTGAAGTACACATGGGTCAAGCAGCAGACTTTTGGCAATCTTAAAATATGTTTTTGTCAATAAGGAATGAAGCTTTAAAATGTTTAAAGATAGTCGTGGGGACTGACTTGTGACCTCTAAGTTGGGCTCATTCCACTTGTAGTTAATTTTATTATCAATTAGTATTCTCCTGAATATGTTTGCAGAGCCACTTGTAGTGCCTGAACACATTGCTTCTTGGATAAAATATGAAAAATAGGATTTGACAACATGTGCATATACCAGCTTAAAAGACACTTTTGTCAAGAGTTGACAAGTTATCCGTGTTCGGGCTGCATTCCAAACTGAATTATAGCTTTCTATATACTTTTCCCTAAAATTCTCATTGGTGCCAACTGTTACTTCATTTCCACTCTCACAAACCTGTGATGTCGTATTATTAGCACCAAACAGCATCACGATTTCAGCACAGGTGCTTTCATTTTAGTGTGTGGTAAAACATTCACTGTTTCATACAAGCTACTTTGAATAGTCTTTAAAGTACTTTGGGATTTTTATGGGTAAAAGGCAGCGTATTTTGTAAAGTTTAATAATAGCCTCCCTGTGGAATTGTAATTACTTTAAAAGTTACCTCAGTTACCATGATCTAGCTACTAAACTGTATTTGTAGTAAATATGCAAAAGTGAAACAAAATATTGCTTTTAGAAATCAGGAAAGTGTCAGAGTACGCTCATTCTTTTCCTTATATTTTCACAGCGAATAAGTTTGCAACTTTGTTTGTGTCAAGTGTACCTAATGCTCCACAGGAGCCATTTGTACAATATTAATCAGAAGGGGAATTAAAGATATATTAAGGTGTTGCTCAACTAGCAGATACAAAGGCAGGAACCTCCCATTCTCCCTGAACTCGCATACCCTTCCATATAGCACGGCCCAGTTTGAGCTCATTGAGTTTATATCTACTATTTTCAATGCAGGAATCTCTGTTCCTTCTGCCTTGAAGACACATATGACATTCTGTGCTGTAAACCAACAGTGTGAAAATCTGGGAGTGTTCTAACAAAGATGATTTTCAAACAAGACCAGACTAGGTTACGTTGCTTTGTTATCATTCTTGTAAGATACACTGGCTATTTT